ATAGCAGATTTTGTTCAAGGTAAGGCAGAAGAACTAGAGTTAGAAATTTTGGACCTTAAGAATGATATTTTGCTAAATTCCTTAATGTCAGAGGACTTTTGGAATACAGTGGATAGAGAAAAGTTCCCATTGTTGAAAAAATCGGCATATAAAATTGAATCATTTTTCGGTTCGACATATTTATGCGAATCATTGTTTTCAAACATGAACTTAATAAAATCAAGATATAGATCTCGACTCAACGATGAGCATCTTTATGATTGTCTGCTACAGGATTATCGTCATACGCTCCTAATTATGAAGCTCTGGCCAATGAAATGCAATGCCAAAGATCACATTGACTTTATTATATTTTTTAATTAAATGTTTTCTTTGTATTTGTGTGTTTTGTTTACTTTCTTAACTTTTTGTAAATACATTTCTCTGTGTGTGTGTGTGTGTGCAATTGGAACAAAATGCCAAATAATATTATTATTTTGAAACATTTTTGTTTATTATTTATTAATACAATATGACTATAAGAAAATAAGAAAATAAGAAAATAAATTACTGGAAAATAGCAAGTTATGGAAGGAGTTTGTCGATTTAAAATAGGTGGTGCCCGCCACCCTACAGCTATTTTAGAATGTGCTCTAAGAGTAATAAAAGGTTGGGAACCTCAGACTCTGAGGTGTGAAAATAATTTTCCGTTGCAAAGCCTTGGGGGAACTAGAACGAATGGGCATTTTTTTTATAGTTTTGTCAAATGTTACCTCCCACCTTCTATTGCTCTATTTATACGGAACACATTTTTGAGGGGGTTGTTTAATTTTTTTTTTCATTAGTCATCTTCACATCACTTTCTAAACTGCCTTTACATTTTATAAGGATATAAGGTAATATATAACAAGGTAACAAGATATATCAAATATGTAAAAAGTATTTTATTCTAAACAAAATTGGAAAAGATTAATAATTATTTTCACAAAAATTTCTGAGATGTTACAGTAATAGGATTATAAAAGTTTTGCTATGTGATGATTTCGTTGTACTTAAAAAATGTTTCTGTAAGACATATGTATACTTTTTTAATGATGTAAACACGTTTTAAGATACACAATTCTTATGCTGCAGAGAGTTGCATTGTGTACATTTGATTTCTCACAATTGCATTAATGTTGTATGCTCACATTGATATTAAACTTGACAAGTAGAATGAAATTTGCGAATACCGCTGAACTTATGCCTTTGTCATTTGAAAATAACATTGAACTCATGTGCGGCTCACGCTTTTAAGCTATGTTACTGTAAAACACTAAATGTGTATATAGATTTATTAGGCTGACTGGTTGGCCAAATGGTCTAAACTGAGCAAACCTGGAGTTGGTGGTCTGGTTTTCAAGTCCAGCCAAAGACCAGTCAAGGAAAAAATATTAACCACGGGTGGATGAGACTCGTTAACCTTGGTCGGCAACTGATCTAAGAGAAGGAAACTCTGAATTTAAACCTGGAGTTGGAATCCCGTAAGGCGCAAACAATGACAATTCTTGCGACCGAACCCATCCCTGGCCGTCTTGACATAGAGTCTTGCCACTGGGAATGGTGGGCCCGAACTAGAGAGTGAGGTTGAAGCGGCGCAACTCTTACTCACTTTCAACAATGTCGCCCGCGCAAGTCATCAGTCACCAGACGACTCGATGGTCCTCGTCGATCTTCCACGGAAGAACACTAATATAGATTGATTAAAATATTTACATTTACAACTATTTGATGTTTTTAAATAATTCATCAAGCCATTTTCATAACATTTTTAATGTGCATATTGTCTAATTATTATAAAATTGTATGATGTATTGTTTATATACACTAATTGTTTGTGTTTCATTTATCTACTTTAAAGTTGTATCGCTTTCGAACCCTTGTATAAACCCGGGGCATAAAACGCAAATGTACCAAACGCATCAGAGATGGAAAACATACACTACAGTTTAGGTAGACGCTGTAAGTGATAGGGATGTTAGCGATCAGGAAGATAAGACATAAACCACAAAGACGGAGGTAGCAAGGAAATAATGTCACACTGAACATTACACACAAGAGAGACACTTAAGCACTGGTAAATGTATACACCGATGTACAGAACACATTGTCATATAAACCACTATTTGACAACACACTAATACAAACAATGAGATACACAACCAAGAGAGTGAAAGTCATTTTTGGGAGGGTAATATAACTATTGGAATTGTGTGTAATAGAAATGAATATACATTTTAATATGCATAACATAAACTTTGAGCGTGGTATTTTTTTCCAGATTTTATTCGATTAATGTTGTTTACTTTCTGACACACATGGGAAGAAAAATTCCATAAGTTTCTTCAAGACCAAATGGTAAACGAAAAGACACAAGTTTGTAAATGTTTATGGATGTACGCATTAATATTTTGAGCACCTAAAATGGCTAAAGAAACTAAATGTCTGTAATTGTTTATAAATTGTACGTAACAGTATCTTGTGGATCCAACGTTCCAATAATCATACTACTATTGTTGATGTATAATTATCACTGAACTGATTTTTTGTTCTAATGGTAACCTTTGAACCTCATCAGTCAAATAATATAAACAGAAATATTGCAAATGACTTTTTATGGTTAGAGATGAAACTTTTCCATTGATTTGTAAATGTTTGCCATCAAATTACTTAATTGATTTTTCAATCTATGGCATCTTCAGTTGAAATACCAAATACGTATCTATCCCCTTAGAGAACGGATCAACGCAGTAATCTTATCTGCGTGATTAAAACGATTAACTTACAGAAATTATACACACAATAATATAATCTCAGTGATTAAAACTGTCCACATTCAGAACGGGTCAACACAATAACCTCATCTAATTGATAAAAACTATCACTATATAGAATGGGTAAACACATACTCTTATCTCATTGATAAAACTATCACTTCATAGAACGGGTCAATATCGTATCTCCTGGATTAAAACCAACCCCTTATACAACGCGTCAACTAAGTATTATTATATCATTAATTAAATCTATCAACTTATAGAACAGTCCAACACAGTAACCGTATCGCGTTGATTACAACTACCACCTTATAGAACAGTCCAACACAGTAACCGTATTGCGTTGATTAAAACTACCACCTTATAGAACAGTTTAAAAAAGTAATATAATCTCAATGATTAAAATTATGAACTTATAGATTGGGTCAACACAGAAACCGCATCTCAGTGATTAAAACTATTACCTTATAGAGCGAGTCAACATAGTAATCTAATCTCAGTTGTTAAACCTTATAGAAATGGTCAAAAGAGTAATCTTATCTTAATGATTATAAATATCATTTTATAGAACAACTCAACAAACTAATCATATCTCATGTACTAAAAGGATCACCTTATGGAACGTGTGATTGCATTAATCTTATCTAAGTGATGAAAAGTTTCACTTTATAGAGCGATTTAACACCGTAATTTTATCTCAGTGGTTAAAGATATCAATTTTTTAGAACGGGTCAACATAGTAATCTTATCGCAGTGATTAGAGAATGGAACTACCGAGAGGACAGCAAGAGAAATGGGAAAGAAAATCAATAGGTGAAAGATACAAAAGTAAAAGAGGGAAATATTTTATGTCATTTCAGTACAAACAGGTCATTTCAGTAAAAACAGGTCATGTCAGTAGGAACTGGTCATTTCAGTAAGAAGAGCTCATTTCAGTAGGAACAGGTTATTTCAGTAGGAACAGGACATTTCAGTAGGAACAGGACATTTTAGTTGACCATAACAGAAAACATTTTTTAGCAATTAGGGGTTAGCTGCTCCGTAAAAATTAAGAGTATCAATAATTTGTAAACATTTTCAACGGGAAAAGACAAGAGAATACAAACTGAAAGAAAAGAGTACAGCGAGCTTATGCCATCCCTTGTTGTACACACAACAATATGATGTTGACAAGACTGCAGCGAGAAACTGCGCACCGCATATAACATACACAAGCATTATGATGGCGACAAAAGGGCAGCGAGAAAATTGGCACCATTTGTTTAACACACACAATCAATTATACAATGTGTAACACTTTAAAAAAAAGCAACTTTTTATAAGTCATTTTCAATGTAATATCATACAAAGGAGGCAGGGGGGAGAAAGCATTCATAAAACTCTTGCACTTTATAAGAACCAAATTAATGCTCCACCAAAGCCGCGTAACCGCACATTTTTTGTCCCAGCTCTGAGCTCTATTACTGTTACAATGACCTAGACGCTTTACATAGCAGATTTATTTCATCAACAATTTCAGAAAAAAACAAAACAGTACGCACCAAACGCGTTAGCGATCATTTTTTTTTTTTGTTTGGAAGAATCGCTTTTAGCGCAGGAATCGGAAATTTCATTGTATGTTACCGTTGAAAAACTGGAAAAAACGAAATTTTGGGGTGATCATGTGGGTCAAAAAATGTGATAGAATTTGTCATCATGAGCAATTATTCTATGTGCAAAGTTTTAGCTTGATCGGTTGATTGGAAGTAGGGGAATTAGCGGTCAGAATATTTTGATACAAACCAACCCAGCCAGCCACCCAAGTACAAAAGTGAATTTAAAATACAGGATTAAATAAAACTACATTGTTTTTTTATCTGTGGCATAACCCAGGATTTTGTGAACCTGGTTAAATTACCCTAAATTGGATTTTTAAAAAAAAGAGAGCATTAGAATGAAGAAGTGTTGAATAGGCTACAGACCTCATAAAAATAACTTCCTTAGGGTTATGTTATATAAACAATAACAAAAATATGATCTTTTGTGATTTCTCTTTAGTTTCAATGATTGCCTAATAAGATAGAAGTTTCTTTACCTAGCCATATAACAAGTGAAATTCTTGTTGAACACGTAAACTGGACACAATCAGATATCATAGAAAATATGAAAACAAGCATGACAACATGAAATCACGAGACATTGTAGCAAGTATTATTACAAATATTACCCAGGTTCTGCAATATTTTTATTTTTGTAGATATACGTACATGTAAACATTATTTAATATTGCTAATTTTTGTAAAAAAAAAAAGTTAAAAAAAGAAGTATAAATCATAGATTTGATATATTATTACATTAACTCTTGTTCAGACTCATATACATATTCAAGTAATTGGTTCAGTTTATGCAAAAGAAAAAAGCGACATCAATATGTATGTATTCCTACAACTGTTTATTTTTAAATGGAAAACATATAAGTGATTCCGAATGTGATTTACACCATTATTTGCAAAAAGTGCGGTAAACTATACATAGGAGAGACAGGTCGTCGCCTTGGGGACCGTTTCAGAGAGCACCTCTATAACATAAATAAACACGCTCTCTGTCCGGTCTCCAAACATTTCAATAGCCCCAACCATAATGGTATCTCAGATATTGTAGTTACTGGTACACTCTATACTTGTAATACTGCAGATATAATCTATATGGAGAACAAATTAATAACTAGATTTGGTACGTTGTCTCCATATGGATTGAACCAAATCCATAGTTTTACTTAGCTGCCAGGTCTTTTTCCTGTTTGGTTTTTCCAATTATGATAAAATCACTTCCTTTTTACTTCTCTTTACTTTGTTTTTGTCTGGTTTTAGCGCCCTCCCCTATATTTGTTCTGTTTTAGGTAGGATATGTATATTGATAGTATGTAAATTTAATTTATACTTATTTAAATGTGTTTTGTTTGTTGATACTGATGAAGGCATGTGCCGAAACGTTTAATTGTGTATAATGTATAATTATTATTAAAGCCAACTCATATTGTTCTATTGACACAATTTGTTCGTGTCTTATTAATCTATTTTAAAGCTTTATCGCAGTCTACCACTTTTTACAATTAGTTAACGAATGTCATAAGGGACAGACTGCAAAGGTGAGCTCAAAAGAAAATGAATAAAACAATGTATTGGAAGAAAGTACTGAAAAAACGTAACACAACGAAACAACGAACCTGTCAGCAGGAAGACTTTGTCATCGAACAACAACAGAAAACCAGATTTTAAAAATAATAGCACTTAGCCGAAAAGTAGCATCCAAGATGGCAGCAAAAGAATATCTCACCAACTTATTTTCTGACACCGCCCCTCAACTGTTTAAACTTACATTTTAAATATATGAACGTCATCTAAAACATGATTCAGTAAGTTTACTTTAGTAGGTTTACTTTAGTATTTTACTGTTTAAGGTTTTCTATAGCAGGTTTACTACCATATGTTTTAACAAGATATTTTCATACCATTATAGTCTGTAATTCTAATAAAAGAGACTTATGGCTTAGATCAATTAAAATAACATTTGAAAATCATTAAGTTGATATAATCTGGAATTCAACCCGAAAGTAACATCTTTCAATTTGTTGTTTTTTTTTCAGAAGAGTAAAAATTACAATTTGTATAGAATTATTAAATTTAGCATTTACACGGTAATTTTTAAATTAATTTTGTAAAAGACAAACATATAGAAAGCAGCCTTGTAAGACAACTCTGACTGAATTGTTATTAAGTTCACGGTTGTAGGAGTGAATATAAACAAATATTTTTTTTAAAATCCAAAATTGCTTTTTCTATCGTTTAAATGCCATGAACAAGTTTATATATGCCTGAATCATTTAAAAAACATGATTATATACTTTCATTCTATTTCAAATGTTTATATTTTTTGTTGTAGTTGTTGAAAATTTATTTTTTGACAAACATTTACTATTTGAGAAGTTTTAGATCAAAATAATGTTAAGTATAATGTTAAAACTAATTGATATCAGGCTAGAAGGTTTACTATCAAAAAGGTATAATTACTTAGCAATCAGGCTGTAAGGGGCAAAAAAAGAAAAGAAAAGCTTTTAGTGAAAGAAGAGCTTTTGGGCGTTAAATGCTGAAGATCACCGACAAAATGAAACGTCTGCTGATTAACGTTTCAAAAATCATTTTAAAAAGGATAACTAATGAAATAGCCTAACAGAACAGAGTTTGAACGTGATCAAGTCTTTAGTCCATTGCTACTTTCAATATCGATGACTAAATTAAAAAAAAAAAAAAATGTATGTTAAGCATTATTTCTGATGCACGGTATCACATGGCATTGTGTACGGGATTGTTTAATTAAAAAGAATAAATAATGAAATAGCCTAACAGAACAGAGTTTGAACGTGATCAATTCTTTAGTCCATTGCTAATTTCAATATCGATGAATAAATTAAAAAAAAAAAAAAAAAAATGTATGTTAAGCATTATTTCTGATGCACGGTATCACATGGCATTGTGTACGGGATTGTTTAAGAGCTTAACATATTCAGAGCTTTTTCTTTTAAATCGTGCGTTTTTACCATTCATTTTATCTTTTAAATAGTATTTCTTTCTATCGAGTTGTCGGCCTGTCTCTACTTTGTGAATCAATTTAACAACAGACACGATCTAAACCTCATAAGATCTCAAAATCTATTTCTCAATTTCCTTCAAGTAATCCTGGTTTGCGGTAAAAAATAAATTAAAAATAAAATTAAAGACCTTTTCCCTTTGTCTAATGGGCCTTTAAGAAGTTGTTATCGGGGATAAAGATACATTTATTTTTTATTTGCAAGAAATAGAAAACATTTCTTGCTTTGAATCATAACCATTGGCAATAAATAAATAATATGTGTAATATTTTAATACAAATTAGTTCTAACATTTAACAAAATATTTCCCAGTTGAATCTAAATCTAATAGTATAATTTTAACACCGCATTTACAATATTGTAACTAACAAGAATATTTCAGTATTTAAAAAAAAGATATCATTACTGCTTGATAGTTACATAGGCTCTGATCCTTAAATCGGTAATGGAATTATATTTAATTTGATTGGCCTGCTCGAACATAATTTGTTTTTTACTTCTTTTTATTCTTGTGTATTTTAATTTCTTGGATAAAATACATTGCCATAGACGGTATCTTCATCCGTTGTCAAATCTGTGTCACTGTGACCTATGAAGCAATTGTTTGCATAAATCTCGTCATTTGCCAAGAGATCTGTGCTCAAGTCATTGACGACATCAGTGTTCACGTATAACTCATCGTTAGCCTCACTATCGGATATGTTGTCTTGAGTTTGCAACGCCCCGTTGTTCAGATAGATTTGTTCTTGGGAATCATTCTCTTCGTAAACGGGTTCATCAACTGTGGAAAAAAAATTACAATAAAAAATTGAAAATTCTTTTAAAAAAATTTTTAAACTTTAAATCCTTTTTAAAATTTAAAATCAAGTAATTTGTAGGGGGGGGGTAGGGGGCTCAAAAATTAAAAAAAAAACATATATACAAGTAACCTTAAAAGAATCATTATTACTCAGACCCTTTCCACCCACAAAAAAAAAAAAGAAAAATAACAAAAACAAACAAAAACTACATGTGTATGTCTTTTTATGTAAAAAATACTACTCTATAAAGAAATAGCATCAATTTAAAAAATTTTTAAAATTTAAAACCTTTTTAAAATTTAAAAAAAAATAATTTGGAGGGGGGGGGGTAGGGGGCTCAAAAATTAAAAAAAAAACATATATACAAGTAACCTTAAAAGAATCATTATTACTCAGACCCTTTCCACCCACAAAAAAAAAAACGAAAAATAACAAAAACAAACAAAAACTACATGTGTATGTCTTTTTATGTAAAAATTACTACTCTATACGGAAATAGCATCAATTTAAATATGATTTCTTTTGATTGTAATAATTTTGCGGTTTAAAGGAGGATGGGTATTGTGTGGCCGATTGTTCTAAACTGAGCAAATCTTCATTTGGTGATCTGGAGTGAAATCCCGACCAAAGCCCAGTCAAACAACATCAGGACCTCGGGCGGACAGGTTTCGGTGTAAACTGTGATGGTATCTCCTCTGAGAGAAGTAAACTCTGAATTAACAACCTGGAGATGTAATCCCTAAGCGGAGAACATTGACACAATGAAGTATTCCAACAAAACCTGCGACGCCACTGTTGTCAAGCTGAATCATCCACAAATGATGTTCACTTGGGTTATCCAGTAAGGCAATTAGCTGTAAAGGGAATCAGATTATAATTGTGAAAATAATATCCCAGACTCTGTTGATTTTGTCCTGGGAACTTTACATCATCGTCACATTGTGATGGACTGATACCAAAAGCAACAAAAACAAAGGTGATGGGGAGACATTATATTAATTGGTTTCAGGGGCGCGAACAAAATTTGCACTTTGGTGGAAGTGGCTTAGGACAATTTAGAATTCTTATGTAATATGCATGTGAATGGAGTAGATAGCGGGCTATAGCTTGTGAATAGACACAAGTTTGTCCCATCAAAAATGACTAGATGGGCCCCAACTAAAATACACATTGTGCATAAAATGGCTCCAAGAAGAAGTTTGCTCATTGCATAACGCAAGTTCCAGGAGTATTCTAAACAAAATTAATTCTTGTTTTACCAATTTCTGACTGAATTTGAGATTTTGGGCTTCCTCCACTGTGTTGTCGTGCAGTTGAGGTCACTGCCATTGGCTTGTACACATTGCCTGGGTTTTCGCTTCTTTTCTCATTCTTGCTTAGTGACTTCAGTCCAGAGATTTGCGATATCCCCGTACTGTATTTTGGACGATGAAATGATACAAGTACATGGTTAATTATGAAATTGAAATTGTTATGAGCTTCCAACTTTTGCATTGCAGCAATAACTCCGCCCAAAATAATACTGGTAGAATAGGCAAAAACGTGCCAAAGTGTTCTCGTTTTATAGACATTTTAATTGTTTCTATAGTATAGTAGTTACTATCCTAGTGTCTCATTTTTTTATTTTACTTAGTTTACATGTTTTTAATAATTGTAAAGCGCTTAGAGCCTTAATGTAAACGCTATGTAAAAAATGCCTAAATAAATAAATGCAATTCGTTACTGAAGGGAATTAAGAACATTATGTAGTCAGCGTATGCAAGAACATTTGAAAGTCCGCGCGTACAAGAACAATTTATAGTCTGGGTGTACAAGAACATTTTAAAGCCCGGGTGTACAAGAACTCTGCGGGGCGCAGATTTGTTACGTTTTTTGTGTTTCAACTTTGCGCATTGTCTCAAGAAACCCCTTTTTTAGTTTGACGTCAGCGCTATTTAATTTAAAATGTCTTTGGATCGTATTTGGCTCTTTCTCTAAAGTTTCATCTTTTAAGAGTTGTATTTGCAACGTACTCATGTTTGTAGAAGTGTAAATACTCTCACATCTCTTAGTTTGTAACATTGAATAATTTACGAATTGCACAATAGCCAAAACAATAATGAATATTCTTTTTGTGGGCTCCCGTCAAATAGCAAAGTGTAAAACATGTCATGTTACTCTAAATCTGCCACTACTCCCACTTAGGTAATTTTCTTCTCTTAGTCTTTCTTCTACGTCTTTTAAGAACACTTTTTGTGTCTGTAAAAAAAATGGATCCTCATCGATGTACAAGATTGACAAGTCGTGATATGAAATGGATAGTGTCTCTCCGTAAGATCACGAATGTCCTCGCACAGAAACAATTGACCCATGACGTGACAATGCTTAGTCTTGTACACACATGGCCTTAAACTACAAGTAAGAATAGAAGTGGCACGGGAGAATAGGTGGCGGGGAATAGGAAAATATTGAATCATGCCTGGACCACATGACTGAGCGATTGTGGAACACTGAAAACTTCCTAGTGCTAAACGTGGACACACCGCGATAAATGTCCCTGTTGGTATGCAGCTTCTGTATCTGAATGGGATGGAAAGCCACAGACAAAACTAGTAATTATCATCGTATTGAAAACAAAAAAGACTATTAATGCCAGTATCGCTTGTCAGCACCTAAGGCGGCGTAGGTTGACAGCAACCAGGGCAGGCTTTAAAAAATACGCGACGGGCACACACTTAATCACATTTTTAAACATCCTGCAAAATAAAGTTTGTGGAAAATCAAACGAATCAAGAAGGTTGTATCACAAGAGTTTTTATCACAAGATCTTGCATCCCAGGCCACATCCTTTTCGAAAGCATTCAGAAATAATAATTAGCGATCGCATCTATTGGTGTCTAGGAACAACTCATCAAAGTGTGTCCTGAAAGTAGTGGCCAACTAATCAAAGTTTTTTATGGAAGTAGTGGCCACTTGATCAAAGCGTGTCATAGATGTATTTTCCACGTCATTAAAGTGCGTCCTGGAAGAAGAGCTTCAAACAAGTTCCATCATTGTGTTCTACCCTATTCATATTGCTCATTAAATATCTATCAGACTAGAACAGGCCATAATATTTCACCTCCGCACTAGACACATACAACTTAATTCCTACCTTAAATGCATAAAAATCATTTAAACATTGTGTGTACCATCCTCTGCAAACATCCAAGTAACACGTTACCCTTTTCCCTGCCGACCACTTCAAGACTTACACCTAATCAATCTGCTAAAAATACCAGACTAAACCAGCACCCTATATACCAACAAAGATCCTTTGAAGAGATTTCATAAATTCTTTACCATGGCCACAGACATAAGTGCACGTGTCTAAAAGTACAATGGATCACAAAGATGATGAATATCCCACAGCCATATTGTAATCTTAGCAGATTAAAACATCATATTAGTCCTCGATAAACCATTTCTGGACACACACAAAAAGATTTTTAAAAAAGAGTTAAATACCCATTGTTTGCCCACAGTCATATCTATTGACCTCACCTTTCATCGTGTGACTTTGTGTGTCTTCTCACCAAAATAATTACGACTGACACAAGACAGACGGCAACCACTAAGCCGGTAGTTATTCCAACGATCATTATAACATTGATCTCATTCGCTTCTGAAAATTATTGAAAATTTGATATTTAAGTTTATTTTACACATATTCCTTCGAATTACTAAAAACACTTTAGGCACATAAAAAATAATTTTACTTGAAGCCTGCAAATATAGAGTAATAATTATAATAAATCTTTTTATTCCTTTAAGAAAGTTTATAATTTGAAAATTGAACAAGCAAAACTATCTAACGTATTATTTTTACTAATTGATGGAAAATGTTTTAGATGTTATTTTTTAAAGAAAACAACATCAATAATTAAAAGGATGAGCTTAAGAAGAAGACAAAATAGAGCAACCCATATAAAAACAATAACAGTTATTGTTTGCACAAATTGTATGATTATCTTCTTCTATATGGAAACAAATAAAAGGCTTTATACATATTTAATATCATGACAGATACAATAAAAACTGCAAAGCTAAACAAATTGCCAGCACTCAAAGGATTTCACTTTATATCACGACCAGAAAAAAAAAGTCATGTTAAATTACGCAAGGTTGGAGGATATAATAACTGTGAACAACAGAGCACTGTAGCACTCGTGAGGAAAAGATAGAAAACACAAGATTGTGACCGTATCAAATTACGCCATTATATTCCAATGATTTCTAATTGAAATATTTCAATGAAATGTGATCTTAAGATCTTAAATGAGTTAAAGAAAATTACATAAAATACGTTTTCCTTTTTAATTTATAGACGCTGATAAAAATATAGAGCGACAATCTTTTGGGACAATATGACACATCCGGTATATCAAAAATAAAAATTAAACTTTTAAAGCAGATTGCATAGACTCCAGCACCGCATTGCAAAACTTCTGTAGTGTCATCTTGGACTCCAGCACCACATTGCAAAACTTCTGTAGTGCCATCTTGGACTCCAGCACCACATTGCAAAACTTCTGTAGTGTCATTTGGACTCCAGCACCGCATTGCAAACTTCTGTAGTGCGATCTTGGACTCCAGCACATTATTGCAAAACTTCTGTAGTGTCGTCTTGGACTCCAGCACCGCATTGCAAAACTTCTGTAGTTCCATTTGCCACATTCAGGTTATTACATCCTTGCCATAGAGTAATACATGAGGTACTCGTTACTTGTAGGATTTGGAATTAGTCAGCCTCAGGGCAAACATTCAAAAATATGTCATGGCCTTTTATCTAGTGGATTAGAAAAGATCTACTTAAAATGTCTGGTTCGCTGATTTCAGGTACTACATCTGCTATGCATTGCTGACAAAAACATTGATTTGTAAATGCCATCATCCAATACTGCCTTTATTTGCGGCTATTCATTTCGAAATGTTTCTCTAGTTCATCCATTTTAAGACTCCTCCTACAATTACGTTGTAATTTTGCATACGTTATGGTAGGCACACATCATTTACATGCCGGCACAAATTCTGCAAAAACTCTGAAAAGTTTTTAACACTAGATTTTTTCAGCCGTATATCACACTGAAATTCTTTCTTTGTTTTACTTGAATTCCATTGCCGCACTGAACTGTCCCTCGGTTAACACGAGAACAATTCAAGCTACATGTCCTTCAATTTTGACCCATATTTTGCATATCTGATGTGATCGGCGAATTTAGACGTCCAATTAGGCATGTTAACCTAACTGTTCAACACACGTGGGATTCAGTTGGATCCTTTAATTACCTTAAATAAAGATGCATGAATTTTTGTTTTATTAATTTTAAAATCAATTATTTCTTGTATTTATATCGCCATCATCTACTGACAAGTTATGCGCACATCATGTTCATACATGAATTGATCTGATACATGATACACACTTATCAGTAGTGGTAAGATTTCTTCTCATCCTAATGGCAAAATAATAACATTTGATTATTTAAAAACCAATGCCAATTGACCCAGTCTTGGAACGAATAAAACTTGACTTGTTTTATACTAAAGAATCACCCCTAGTGTGATCTTCATAAAGTGTTTATAGAATTACACATTTGGGTCGGTAAAAAAGGCATGTATGAGCCACACTACGTTCAGAAATTTGTAAGATGACACTTACATTGTTCACTAGCTACCATGTCTTCAGTTCATATGAGTTACTTAGATCAACACTTTTAGCTATACGGTGGACGCATTGTAAGAAAAAAATGTACAAGGCGTCAAAAGTTTATTAAATGAATTTGTAGGCCGATCCACGAAATGTTAAATTTAACTAAAAAAACAAAAGAATAACTCGGGGCAGTGGTTAAAATTGTGTCAAGTATTTGTAATTTTTACATGGATATAAACATCTAGCAATCTCAGCTCCAACACTAATTAAAATACTAGTTTAGAAAATATGACTGTCTTGTGTGTCACCCAATATGGATAACAGGGTTGAACAAACAATTACACATTAGAACGATAGCTGCAAGTTTTTAAAGACAAAAAGTTTACCAAAGAAGGATTGAATGTTACTGCAAAAGAAAATCGTCAATGCAGGATTGCACCAAGTGTTAACAAGATAGAAAATCTAATGACACGGCGTTGGGAAGGGCTTTTTTTTTTTAATCCAGCAGGGGTCACATAACGTTACATCGTTAGGAATAGATTTTTCATGTTTTTTGTTTTTGTTTTCTTTTCTTTTTAAAATCCAATTAGGATAATTTTAAGGCACGTCGCTGGAAATGACTTGGTCGTATTTGTTCAAACCGACCAGTGCTCACATCAAGTCACATCGTTGGGAATGGCAGGGTCGTATTTTTTTTTTAAAGCTACCAATTCCAATTTCAAGTAACTACTAAAATGAAAACGACCTCCAAATAATAATGAAACTTGAGACGATGTTAAGTGATACCGTGACTCTTCAGAAAGTCCAAAAGAAGCAGATCTGTCACCAGTTTGCGCGTGATGGCTGAATGAATGAATACATCATAACTATTTCAGACCATGAAAGTTGTTTGTGTAAGTGAGAGCTAGTTTCCTATTTTACAGTATTTTATTTTACTTCTTTTTACGAACGTCTCCGAGCATCAATATAACATTAAATTACAACCATTGAATTGAATAGTTGTCTTTAAAACAATTAATACTTGAATGTCAATTTCTACATTACGATAATGTAGTAGATTTTTTTTTAAAATCCCTGTGAAAAAAAATATTAGATACTTCCTTTAATGCCTGTAAAATAAATGGTCAGAAAATTCCTTTAACCCCTGTGAAATAAATTGTCAGAGACTTCATTTTAATCTCTGTGAAAGAAATGGTCAGAGACTTCCTTTAATCCCTGTAAAATAAATGGTCAGAGACTTCATTTTAATCCCCGTAAAATAAATTGTCAGAGACTTCATTTTTATCACTGTAAAAGAAATGGTCAGAGACTTCCTTTAATCCCTGTGAAAGAAATGGCCAGAGACTTCATTTAATCCCTGTGATAGAAATGTTCAGAAACTTCCTTTAATCCCTTTAAAATAAATGGTCAGAGACTTCCTTTAATCACTGTAAAATAAATGGTCAGAGACTTCATTTTAATCTCTGTGAAAGAAATGTTCAGAGACTTCCTTTAATCCCTGTGAAAGAAATGGTCAGAGACTTCCTTTAATCCCTGTGAAAGAAATGGTCAGAGACTTCCTTTAATCCCTGTGAAATAAATGGTCAGAGACTTCCTTTAATCCCTGTAAAATAAATGGACAGAGACTTCATTTTAATCTCTGTGAAATAAATTTTCAGAGACTTCCTTCAATCCCCGTGCAATAAATGGTCAGAGACTTCCTTTAATCACTGTGATAGAAATGGTCAGAAAATTCTTTTAATCCCTGTGAAATAAATGGTCAGAGACTTCCTTTAATCCGTGTAAAATAAATGGTCAGAGACTTTCTTTAATCCCCTTGAAATAAATGGTCAGAGACTTCCTTTGATCCCTGTGATAGAAATGGTCAGAAACTTCCTTTAATCCCTGTAAAATAAATGGTCAGAGACTTCCTTTAATCCCTGTAAAATAAATTTTCAGAGACTTCATTTTAATCTCTGTGAAAGAAATGGTCAGAGACTTCCTTTAATCCCTGTGAAAGAAATGGTCAGATACTTCCTTTAATCCCTGTGAAAGAAATGGTCAGAGACTTCCTTTTATCCATATGAAATAAATAGTAAAAAAATTCCTTTAATCTATGTGAAATAAATGGTCAGGGAATTCCTTTAATCACTGTGGAATAAATGGTCAGAGACTTCTTTAATCCCTGTGAAATAAATAGTCAGAAAATTCCTTTAATCCCTGTGAAATAAATGGTCAGAAACTTCTTTTAATCCTTGTCAAATAAAATACCATAGCAGTCTGTATGACAACATAAATATCAACACACGGATAATGACAAAATCGTTTCTGCTGAAAGCTTCCAATAGAAAAAACATTAACAGATAAAAAAAAAAAAGAAGAGATTAATAAAAATTCAGTTTCCAGTAATATTTTGACATGGGTTCTAATTTACTATGGGGATAAAGAAACAACAACAAAACGTTGAACATTTTGAAAAAAGGAATAGATTGCACGAAAAAAAAGGAATAGATTGCACGAAAAAAAGGAAAATTATTTAAGTTAATGTTTAAAGTAAAAAAAAAACCCCAAAAAACTATTAATAAACTTAAGGGACCAGGAAGTCTTTAACTGAATGTTAATATAAGGGAAAAAAAACACTTTTATTTTATCCTCCAGATCTGCTCACTATATTTCTGACACAAGTACACCACTTAAAAGTAAATATTAATACTGTTTCGGTTTAACGTCTAATCCTGCTATATTTAATAATAACACCACTGAGACACTTCATAAATACATAGCCATTGCTAACTGTGTCAGCTATTTAATGGAAGTGCTATCAAGTTTATTTGTATCCTGTTTACTAGTAACAATCTCTATAAATACATTCATCTGTTTGACTACATCCGTATTGCGATGCATTAAGCGCTTTTCTCATTTTGTGAAGGCAAAACGAACCTATAAAACTATAGTTTATTGGAGCATCAAACATTTTAAGTTATATAACTAGTTTGATAGAGAAGAGTACATTTCAAGGCATAAACAGAAATAATACCAATAAAACATGTGAGAAAAATGAGATGTTCTATGGTACATTGCCTTTTTTTAATATTTTGAATAAGCCTTACGTATTGTTTAAGGCAGCGTTCCCCAAACGGTGGTCCGTGGACCGTCACGGTCCGCGAGCCTTACGTTACCGGTACAGAGAGCATCAATATTGATGCTTAAATAGAAAGAAAATGCAATTAATAAATCTGGCACATGGTCCCTGGTGCAATTTCAAAACTTGTCCACCGGTCCATGAAACTTAAAAGTTTGGAAAACGCTGGGTTAAGGTACTTATCTTGTACATAAATGGAAATACAATATTGGTAAATATCTTGAAGAGTAAAACTTTGATAATACCTGGTTGTTAAAGGAAAATAAAATTTCCACACACACCTCAGTGCCGATTGTTAAGGACTTGTATTTATTGTGTGATTGTGTGTTTGTTTGGAGAGTATTTGGGTAGATGTTGCTCTAATTTCCTCGGTTGTTGATAAGTACTTTACTGAAGGGGAAATGACGTATTATGGTGTAGTGTGCTGTGATTGAGTCTATGGCGCAAGTATCAGGAACGATTTTATCAATAAAGTTTAGTAATAGACTTGTACAGTTAATAAAGATACGTTCGTCTCTTAATTCAATGGTTTGTTAAGTGATCGTAACCCCCATACAACGAAACTAACAAACCAGATACGTTTTTGTTCGTAACACCGATTAACAAGATTTGTGAAAAACATACATAAAACAGCCTGACCATCTGAGAAAGTTAAAAGAATAAAGTATAAAGCGTAACTGCCACTTTTTCAGTAAAAAATCACGGAAAAGAAAGAAATGTACGCAATTTTTTCCGAGTAGTCTAACACTCTAATGCGTATGGTAGATGTTACAGCATTGATAAAATATAAAAAACAACAATATTTTAAAGCTTAATGGTTAAATCTTAAAATAAAGCCTTAAAAATTGATTTGTTTTTTTCAAAATCTACCTGTAGTCTCTGTTGGTTATCGATTTAATAATGTTTAAATATGATTCCAAACAGATGTTTCAAAATATCTTCAATTTTTCTACTAAACACATTACAAGTAGCGCATATACTACTCCATTAGGAATAACTTAAACAGTTAACTGAGATAAAGAACATACAATTTAGACAAAATTATCTAAAGTTAAAAGCATTATAGTTAAAGTTTATTTAATTTGAATTTTACATCACCGAAGTAGTGACGTCATTTGTACGACTAAACACATTAAACTCTTTGTTCTATTTATTTTTATTATTCCATTGCTACACAGATTGAAAATTAAAAAGTTTACCAGCAGATTAACCAAGGCTTGCATGGCATTCTATAGATCTGACAAAATACTTTGTAAAAAATATAATAAAAAGGACAGTATTTCTTTTTTTCCGGAAAAAAGATCATATCTAAAATTTAAAAAAAGAATATCGGAAATGTGACATTTAATTTTTATATTTTATACAGGCGACATTAATATTTGTTAGGATACATCGACCTTATAAGAGCATTGAATTATGTCTTAAAAATTGCCTTTATATTTAATGTTGGTTAATTTTTTTTTCGTTTTAATCAATTATTGCTGCAAAAGTTTGCAACCTGTGTTATTAAAGGGGTTAGAGACATAGTTTTTTTTTTCCTTTTTAAAAAAAAGATATTTTATTTTATAATTTAAAATTGTGATAAAAAATACCTGTCTGAAGTGTTTTATGTGTTCTCACAATCGTTTGCCCATAGAACAAGTCTGGTCCTAAAATCGTCAACACGGTGAAATTGTATGTGTGTCCAGGTTTCAGACCAGTTACATTGGCCCCATCAGAAGTGGCCATCATGTTTCCTGTTTCTAGAATATCGTTACTTGCCACCCAAGTGAGATTATAGGTGACGTTCGCAGCCAATGTTTCTATTGTCCACATTAGTTTAACTTCATTCGATGAAATCTGAGTCGAGTTGGAAAATGTAACTCGTAAATCTGAAACTAACGGCAAAATCAACCTTTAGCATCGACTTATAGCCATCAACTTAATTAAACAATGAAATTGCAAAACGAGGTTTGTGGAAGCTTGAATTAGAGAACAGGAAAAAACGATCAGGACGTTTGAGCATAAGGCCTTCTTTTCCTGCGCACAGGGCACGTAAATATTTCACAAAGAACAGAGCACAGTAAACAACTCAAGAAATAGGGATTATTGTTAAATAAAAAAACAATGACTGCTTATTATGTCATGTTCTAAGGACAAAGATATTTGTTCAAAATGATATACTTAACTATGTTGTCACTTTGTCAATAGATATAATCTACAATTTAGTCCAAACGAAAAATCTCACTTGGTGAGCACTGTCCTCGTTCGAAGAACATAACATCTTCACACAGGCATCTATGTGTATGTGACACGTCTGGTTTACATACAAAGTCTAAATGTTCACATATCCTGGCAACGAAGGGTAAACATTTCATTCCGTGGCCCAGCACTGAAATAACAAGTTTAGAGCATGAAAAGAAACTTTCAAATTACATTTTAGCATGTTAAATGTTATAAATCCGTTTAAGATGCTTCATACTGGGATTACAATGTGTCATATAACATCTAACGACTAATGTGTAGCATGTTATGTCATTTGATACAATTCTGTTTCACTTCTTATGTATATATTTTGCATTTGTTGGACTTTTTTCACTTGACGAAACGTAACAAAATTGGAATTTATGTTTCTGTCCCATTTTGTAGATCCCAGTATTAATCTAAGGTATTTAAATTATTATTTTTTTAAAAATAATTTTATTTGATATCTTTATTTTTTATGAATTTATGATGTTTCTTAATAAAGAATAAACAATCAATTATTGAAAGAATTATTGAAGAAAGCTGCTGAAAAAAAACAAAAATGCTAAGACATAATACTTCATACTAGACTAGGTTGGGCCTAGAAATGTGTATATTAATGCTTATGTCAAATTGTTATCATGCTCTATGAATCTATTCATATTCAAATACGTTATTTGATCTTTAATATATTTAACCAAGTTTCGAGTCCATTCTGTCATTTTACTAATTCATTTGAAATCTATAATTAGTGCTTCTTATTTTTTATCTTTTTCTTTTACCTTAAAAAAAAAATGTTCGTGTGTGTATCTGCGACTAGTGTCTTGGAAACCAGCAAATATTAATGCATGTACACAAGTTGTCTCAAAATAATCCACATACTACTACTAAATGTATTGCGTCTTTAGTAAACAAAAGAAACTTACGTTTATCACACGTGCCCAATGAAGCATTATAAAATCTGTTAGATGAACAACCACAGATCCCGTCCACGCATGTTAAAAGTGGATTGCAAACAGAGTCAGAAGAGCAGGTGCTGTCTTTTGGTCGACCTTATATCATTTAAAATAAACATATAGTAATTTATATTTATACTGTTACCTGGATGCTTCTTTAGGGCATTCTAAAACTATTTTACCTGTGTATCTAATACGATTCAACTTTAAAATAAAACATTGTTTTAAAAAAAAAAAATGGCATGGAAAGCAAATAATTTGAATGAGCCCTTAATTTATGCTTTAAATATTTGCATCCATTGTAAAGATCAGCCTTTTGTTGTATTGTTTTCTAAATGCAAAATAAAATCGTTTATATTATTTAAAATACGGATATATTATTTTAAAAATGGACATATTATTTTAAATCGGAAATATTATTTTAAAATGACATAATTTTTTTTTTTTTTTTTTTTTTTAAATCAGAAATATATTTTTAATTCGATTTGTTTAAAATGAAGTACCAAATTTGTTCATGACTAACTCACCTTTGACGACAAAAGATGCATTAAATCCTGGGTAAACCAAAGAACTGTTGTTTGTTTTAAAAACAATGTGCATCAAACTAGTTGTTGATGTTAGATTGGCTGAAAAATTGGACTGGCAATATTGTGAAATCAATCTGGCGCTCGTGTTTCCACCGTCGTACACACGAAGTACAGCATCTTTACAGTCTGGAAATCCTTTCATTTGAAGAAAGAATCTGAAATAAATGAATTAGGTGATCACTATTTCCAAACAGGATTATCGAGAGATGAGCGAATCTAAAGGGATGTATTAAACGTTACAAAATTAAACATACCAAATTGCATAAGCCAAAGTTAATTAGCGACCGTTGTAGGCCAAACATTTATGTTTTTATTTCTTTTCTTTTTTCAATTCCCTAGCCTTTTTGTTATCATTCTACTTTGAAATGTGATATGTATAGCTGTGTGTGTATAAAACTTTTTTTTTGTTGTTGCAAAACGAGAAAGTCATTACCAAAATAATTACATAACAATCAGAAGCAAAGCTAGGATGAGTGCAACTTGCAGTGGCTCGGAAAACTTGCATTTTTCATAAAAATATATATTTTTTTAAAAATATATTTGATAAGCATCTATTAATAAACGATATATTTTTTCGCACATTATGTCTGATTTTGTGATTTGAACCAGTAACATTTCATTCTTAAGATTTTCTTTAAATTAAATTATTTCCCATCGTGCCTTTGAAATAAATTTTAAAAAAATTGAAATAGCAAAAAACACAAACTGATTTCTTTTACCTCACAGTGACGACTTCATTCCCACCAACAAGTGTCCATGAATAATAGGAAGGTGTCGGGTATTTTACAGAATAACCTGGATTAGCAATGGTGCCAATCATTTGGGATATGGTAGAGTTGTACGCTGTTAGCAAAAAAATAGGACTTGAAAAATGTTGTTTCTTTTCGAAAGTTTGCATATCAAAAGAAAGAAGAAAACGCAATTGGATAAATGGATCGTCATCACACACACCAACACACACACACACATATATATATTTATATATATATATATATATATATATATATATATATAAATATATATATAATACACACACACACACACATATATATATATATATATATATATATATATATATATATATATATATATAAATTTGTTAAAATATGAATGCAATAAGTTGGATAATATCAATGCAAAATTAATATTCTTTTGAGGGTATTCATTCATGCTAAATGAATCTTGACGTTTGACAAACAACAAAGCACAATGTTACGTCATTATTCGTACATCGAATCTGGTAGTAGCCAAGAAATCCTCTGCGTGTAACAGAACCATCTGTTTTAAAGACTATATACATCGTATTCCTTGTAGATACAAACGTTCTTGACGTCGAGTCGTTCTGGTTACATGTTTTGTGGATGATTGGTGAGCTGTCAGACTCACCGTCATACAATGCAACGTAATCTAAGGAACAAGGAGACGAGTACTCAAAGTCCGTCTCATATAGACTGAAATTATCAATGGAAATAATGTCAGTATACATAATTTGATTCGTTTATTGTTGTTAGGATTTAGTTTTTCAATGCACAAATCCATTACAACAAAATGCTTGAAACATAATATTTTGTAAGTGTAATTAAGTATTAAACTATAAGTTTCCACACTGTTGTAATCTTATACTTTTGGTCTTGGGTTTACATTTCATTAAATTTCTAAAAATAGAATTTATTTCATCCAATTGTGCATGCCAGTCACTAATTCATGCATAGTTAAGTATCAATTAAATAAATGGATTGTATACCTGAATGTGATGTAGCTGTTCTGTTGCCCTCGAACACGCCAATAACTGAAGACATTATTATCGTAATTACCAGGATAGTTTGGACTAACAATCTTTCCATTTTCTGCTGTCAGTGCTGTATTGAAGTCTAGAGAGAATAAAAGGCGAGCACTAACTTTTATTTTCATGCGTTGCAGACAGTTCATTTTCCAAGGTCTAACGATTTTCCAACGATGTTCCATATCGTTAACTCTAATATTTATTTATTTAGGCATTTTTATATAGCGCTTACCTTAAAGCTCTAAGCGCTTTACAATTATTTAAAACATGTAAACTAATTAAAATAAAAATGAGACACTAGGATAGTAACTACTATGCTATAGAGACAATTTTTAATGGCTATAAAACGAGGACACTTTGGCACGTTTTGGCCTATACTACAGGATCAACACGAGACAGAAAATGAGGCAGGGCAAGAAGGGTGCATCACAGGTCATAGGCGGACCGAAACAGATGGGTTTTAAGGGACTTTTTGAAAGAGGACGAAGTTTCACAATGACGGATATCATTCTAGGGTGTCGATGGCATCTTTGACAATCTCATCAACATAATTCCTTTACTTTTAAATAATTACAACATGTTTTTTCTCCCATTTAAAATATAAAAAAAATAGTTTAAGATATTCTTAATATTCATTACACAGGAGTGTTCATGTACTAGTACTCTGTTTCCTCTTGAACACCCTGATATCTATAAGATTAGTAGTGGTGGTTACAATAACTATTCAATGCTTCATTTATTTCTCCAGCAGCTGTTAGAAAAAAATTCCTTTTTGTAATCTATATGCACAATTGTTGTATTACTAGATCAACGTGAGAATAGTTTCGTTCGGTCTTAAACTTTTTTTTTTTAACATAATGGAAAGAAATGTAAAGCCGAAAATGCATCAAACAAATATGCACAATGTAGCTAATAACACGTCGGTTATTTACCTTGAATGTAATAGCTTGCAAGGAAACCTCTGTTCTCGTTAGAGCCATCAGTCTTAAAGACAATGTACATGTAGTTTCCTGTAGATTTGAATGCTCTGTAAGATGTATCGTTTTGATTACAATTTTTGTAAAGCAAAGGAGAGTTGCTGCTGCCGCCATTGTAAATAGCGATGTAATCAAATTCACAGCTCGTTTGACTTTCCAAATATGTTTCAAAAACTCTGAAGAAAAAAAACAGAGGTATGCAAACATCAACAACAACTGTATATACAAGTTCTTTTCGTGGCCATTTGTATTGGGTCAGAAAATAAAATTTAGATTTATATATCATTCAAACATTAAACAGTTACTTTTCTTTCAACCTAAGCATTTAGTGTATGCATTGAGTTTCATAATAAGTAGCTATTGCCATCTAGATCAGACTATATCCTTCTAGACCAGACTGTACACATCTGAATCAGACTTTACCCATCTAGACTAGATTATACCCATCTGGACAAGACTATATCCATCTTGACCAGACTATTGCCATCTAGATCACACTATACCCTTCTAGACCAGACTATACACATCTAGACTAGGCTATACCCATCTACACCAGACTATACACATATAGACTATACTATACCCATCTAGACCAGTCTATACACATCTAAACTAGACTATAACCACAATGGCTAGCCTAAACATATCCAGGCCAGACTTATACCCATCTAACGTTGTAGACAATGTGTAGTAAAAGATTGAGTATCGCCGGAGCTGTAGTTTTGGCCCTGGGGGATTGAACTTTTGTTCTTTTTTTTAAAATCCCATCCACGAATTAATCAGCTCATCAAAGATAATTGATTGTTATTACGTATGATATTTTTTTTTAAATTCTCGTGGAAACTTATTTTCACATGACCTGGTTGTGATTATGCCAATTATTGAGTTTTAGTTTTTACCCACCAGTAGTGTTGTTTTATAAATTAAAAAAAACCCAACTATTTATGTGTTTAATCCACTTGATTAATAACTGATTTGTTTGTTACTTTCACACATATGAAAATGGATGATTCGTAGACTTTTAAATCTCTATGCAATAAAAACATTCCCGTAGTGTCTATTTATTTCTATCCACCAAAATCACTTTTATACGTGATGCTTATACTATCTTATCGCATTTCACGTTTACATAGCTAGTTTCTTTCCCCCCAAATACCCAGTTAACAATCTTGCGTCAATTTTATAACTATAGAAGATCATAGGTATGACGAGATTTTTTTACAATTATGTGCTACAAAAATAGACACATAACGCCTTGTGGATGGACTAACTTCCGCAAGAGAATCATATGAATTCAAAGTCACTTTTTTGTGAAAAAAAGCTAAATAATATCGAGAAAAAGGAGGAATTCATAATGGGTATAGAAAGGGTTGGAAATAGGTTCTGACTTAAAGCCGACTTCTAAATATCCTAAAAATCTGCCAACACCATTTGATGTCAGATGGCTATTTGACAGAGATAAAACCTTATCCAAAAGATCGGACCATTATTTCTGGAACAGAATGATAATTACGGTCACCAACATGTCAAACATTTTTCTCATAATCCCCAAATCTGCAAGAAGGCTCTAATACCCAGTTCCCTTAAAATGATGGAGCTGAGGCTGATAAATACGATCAGTCCCCTTCAGACAATATAAAGTGGAGTTAATCAAATTGTTTCTGCAGCTAAGCATTTATTTCTTCAAGGACTGAGGCAGCAGATGTTTTAGTTAATCCATATGAGAGTGCCAATTAAGTAACAATATTATTTTATTCCGTTGTTTGCCGCCATAACTGTACAAACACTCCATACTCGGGCTTAATCTGAGCAGGGGTATGCTCCGACCCACTACCACGTCCTTTTCTTGGTTGTATTTATTGTTCTAAATAATCACTTATAAACTATAGACCAATAATGTAAATGTTTCATACATATTGTCAAATTTTGATAAGTCATGGATAAAATAACATCTAATTGGATTATTTTATTTAAAAAATTAAATGTATACATATTTAAAATAAAACTGACATATCTACAACTATTTGAAAACGTTTAAAAGAAGAGTTACCCAAATGTAATGATTTTGCCTTGTGGTACACGAAATGTCCAAGTGTAGAACACGTTGCTGCTATAATAGTTGGGGTAGTTTGGGCTGACCAGATATCCCGATCCTGATGCTATGGTGGTATCAAATCCTAAAATAAACATTTAAAAGTTAAACATGTGACTCTAACATAATTGGGTTAATTTAGCTCCAGGCAGCGATAGAAAGGGATAAAGCGAGAGAGAGAGAGAGAGAGCAGCCATAAACATCCAGAGAAGGAGCGAGAGAGAACCGTTTGAACAGATCTGCACAGTGATAAGAGGTAGTGGTTCCCCTGATACAATCATTGACACTGTTACATATTCTAAAACATTTATTTCCATACATTATAATAAAAAAAAACAGGTGGTTTTACTTTAAAAATACGTCTAAAATTTGGTATTATTATTAAAATGGTTTCATACAGTGCGGTACCCCAGCCTAGGGCAAGGCTCGCCGTTCTTCAATTATATTTGATTCATTACAATAATTTATTTTTTTTGTATTCCTTTATTTAACTTTATGTTAGGCTAAATTGTTGCAACACTGCCGAAAATGTGGTACAAAGAGAAGATACAAACTGGCAAACAGCCCTCTCAAGCATTGCGGAGAGAACAATACATACAAATGTTTTGAATTTTAAATAGCTCCTTTATTAACTTTTGTAAAGTTCCAGATACATATATGCTAAAAGAATTATGAAATATATCACACATACAAATTTACAGATATCTAAAAAAATATATTTTACATTGTAGATGTTAGCTTACCAATTTCATAATTATCTACCCACTGAGAGTAATATTATGCTATTTATAGCTACTTTTGCATTTGATAACTTATTGATACAAATGTGTGGACACGATGATTGTAAAACATGTAAATCTGTAATAAATTACGACCAAGCGTTGTTAATTTTTTTTTTTGAGTGTAATACGATCGATTTCTTTTTATCTATTTATAGAAATATGTGCTTTGTTTAGCTATATTTTACAGTACTAAATTATTAAACCATCTATCGTGTATGTCGAAGTAATACATTTCTTAGTTTTTTAGTCAATAAGAGAGGAATGTTACATGTTTAAAAGAGGTAGCTATTTTAATTTTTAAAAATAAAATAATATATTTATTTATTTTTTGTAACAATAGGAACGTTCAACAAAGAGCAACACCTAATGATTTCAACGAATGTTTGCTGCTAATCGAATAATTATTAGCATGCAACTAAGTTATGAAGCTGTCTTGTCGTGCCTTTGAAAATGTATTGAAACTTGTTTTTTTTTTGCGTGTAGCGTGTATACGGTTTAATAAAAAAATCTTATAAAAATTGTGTTTGAATTGTAGGTAACATGTTTGAAATGAAGATAACACTGATACGATCATAAGCTGATGATCGCGTCTCGAATTCTCTATACTTTATACTCTAAGAGATTTCAAGTTTTTCTTTCAGCCTCTTGATATGCCTTAGAAGACTTGTTTCATTCAATTTGCCCACTTGTTTAAATTCAAAATACAGAGACGTTTTCACTATCTTTAGTAATACTTTTACTTAATCTTTATCATACTTTCAGCAAACTTTGAAATTTCAAAATGAATTTTCTTTGAGATTTTTAAACTTGCAAAGTGAAATTTAATAGCCGTGGTTTTCTGAAATCATAAATTCGATCTGTATAAAACGAGTGCAACGTGTTTTATTGAAAAATTCCAAAATGTATTCATTTTGTAAGTCGTCTGTTTCATAAATACTTAATTTTAAATTTGCTTTTGTTATTATGTTGCAAATTATTTGGATGGCTATTTGACCCACTTCTCGTCAACCGATCCAAGTGAACTTGGCACATAGACTCAGTACCAATGACAACACATTGTGTCACTTTTTTTTACATCCACCTCCCTAACCCAATCACCTATAATCACTTTACCGTGATTTTCAAAATGAAGATAAAATACAATTCCTTGTTATAGTGCTAACAAATACATTTTTAAAAAAAGGAAAAAAAACAAATCAAGATCCTTTCATGCGTAACATTTGTTCGTTGTTTTTGTGGATGCAATAAATCAGCTGTGTAAAAGCGGGCGGGTCATTAGAGTAGTAATATAGTTCAAAGGGGACCGGGTGGAAATGAATGTGCGGTTGTGAGCCTTAGGGGAGCTCTAGTTGGTATTCCTATAAAGTTCACTACTTGTTTGTATGTGTTGTCAACTGTTCAGCCCCTCCCTTCACCCAAATTTTTTGCTCGATATAACATTTCATTAATGATTTTTTTTTTTTTAACAAAACGTCTTTTTTATGGGTTGTTTACTAAATTACGTTTTTTGTGGCTACTGGGGCTTTCCTACTTGACCTACTTCCCGTCATTATATTGTGCAGAGACTTTGCACATAGACTCATTGCCGTTGACCTACTTCCCATCTTTATATTGTGCAGAGACTTTGCACATAGGCTCGTTGCCGTTGACAAAACCACATTTTTACAATTGATGATTAGCCCCAAAAACCAAGCCCGACCCCCCCCCCCCCTACTTAGCACATAGACTCGTTGCCGTTGACAAAACCACATTTTTACAATTGATGTTTATCCCCAGAAACCTAGCCCAACTCCCCCTCCCCTAAAAACTTTATCACACCTTTTCAATGGGGACATAAGAAGGAAATATGATGGGGGGGGGGGGTTGAGGTCTAATTGTGATTCTTATATAGTGCATTACTTGTATACATTTTTTTATTTGTCAATTTTTGTTTAGCTTCAACCCGTAACTCGATATTATATTTTATAAGGGATTTAAACACAAGATTTTTATAGCTCAATATTACATTTGATAAGATTTATAGAAACTTTTTTAACGGTTGTTCTTTGTCTTAAAAATTCAGATTTCCCTTTTTTTGCCATATAAAACATGTATCTAACTTTATCGTTTCGCTCCTGATTCAAGTATCGCTGAATGTCTCTTACTTGGCACACACGTTGCAGTGCAACTGTTGTATTCCATGTTGTAGGGACATCCACACGATTCACTATTGCAGGAGAAAGTAACGCAGTCTGATGAACTTCTACATTTCCCTCCAAAACCTATCAGTGAGGAGGATGGAGTTCTACATCTCAAACTTGTTGCACCAGGAGGCCATGTCTTTAATGAAAATAGAATTTACCATTTTTAGACATATAGATATCAAAATTTAAAAAAAAATTAACTTAGATTTAATGTTAAAAAATGTGTAAATTTAAGAGTAATTATTAGTTTACAAATATATTTATAGATATAAAATATACGGGATTCAAAGTTTACAAAAGTTTATGTTCGCGTCATCCCTTTGTATACCCGTAAAATTACTTGCAATCATATGGTAAAGAAACAATTTGATGCATTGTCTATTGTATAGAAACAAAGTGAAGCGTTGTCCACTGTATAGAAAAAAATGTAATGCTAGGGATTTCATTTGAGTTGGTCAGTATGGGGCATTAGCTTCCCCACTGAATTTGAAGTTTTTTATATTATTTGCAATATTCTGTGGCGCTTCCAGTAATAAACTACTTACCAAGCCGAAAAATGTTTAATTTTGCGTCGTCCCCCCCCCTCCCCCAATGAAAAAACCATGAAATGACGCCCCTGTGTTAAGCGTTGTCTATTGTATAGTAACAAAGTGATGCTTTGTCTATTGTATAAAAAAGTGAAACGATCTATATTGTAGAGAAACAAAGTGAAGCAATGTCTATTGTAGAGAAACAAAGTGAAGCAATGTCTATTGTAGAGAAACAAAGTGAAGCATTGTCTATTGTAGAGAAACAAAGTGAAGCAATGTCTATTGTAGAGAAACAAAGTGAAGCAATGTCTATTGTAGAGAAACAAAGTGAAGCAATGTCTATTGTAGAGAAAAAAAGTGAAGCAATGTCTATTGTAGAGAAACAAAGTGAAGCAATGTCTATTGTAGAGAAACAAAGTGAAGCAATGTCTATTGTAGAGAAACAAAGTGAAGCAATGTCTATTGTAGAGAAACAAAGTGAAGCAATGTCTATTCTAGAGAAACAAAGTGAAGCAATGTCTATTGTAGAGAAACAAAGTGAAGCAATGTCTATTGTAGAGAAACAAGTGAAGCATTGTCTATTGTAGAGAAACAAGTGAAGCAATGTCTATTGTAGAGAAACAAAGTGAAGCAATGTCTATTGTAGAGAAATAAATTGATGCGTTGTCTATTGTACAAAAAAAAAGTTTTGTGTGATGTATGGCATAGAAACAAATTGATTTGTTTTCTATTTGATGGAAAGAGATGCGTGACCTGCTTCATAGTTCGCAAATTCTAATTTAAAAAAAAACATTATTAATACGACCGCAAAGAGATGTCCTTTCCTCCTTGCAACCCGATCCCCAGTGGCATAATTCCATTTTGGAATTCCATTCCCCAAGATGGGATCCCGATTTTGATTAAATCCCAAATATAATGAGATTCTGGTTCCGATTCGATATTGGTCCTGAAGGGATTCATATCTCGATTTGATCACGTTCCCAGTGGTATCTATTTCTAAATGGGATCCCATTTCCCTAGAGGAGGCCGTTTCCCGTAGGGTTCTTGACCTCATGGGGATCCCAAGGAGAGCCTGAATGATGATAAGACTTAGTGATACTGAAAAAAATCCACAGGAAAGTATAGAAAACAAATAACAATTTTAATAAGCCGTGAAACAATACATGTTCGGGAAAAGTCTAGACTAAATGTAATAACCTTCTCGAAACACATGACAAATGAATTCCTCCACAACCCCATGTCCCTCAGTCCTTGGACCGTTGGGGCGCCACAGATGACATGTGAAGCATCCTCTTCCACTCTTCTCTTTCTTCAGCACTACGCACTGCATCACCCAGTGTTAGTCCTGTCCACTCTTTGATGTTATCCTCCCTTCTTTTTTTTTTTTTGTCTCTTTCTTCTTCTCCCTCGTCTTGTGGTTCCCTGCAATATTTCTTTGGCAAGCCCTTGTTTCCTTGTTACGTTGCTACATGTGCAGCATCCTCTTCCACTCCTCTCTTTCTTCAGCACTACGCACTGCATCGCCCAGTGTTATTCCTGTCCACTCTTTGATGTTATCCTCCCATCTTTTTTTTTTTTGTCTCTTTCTTCTTCTCCCTCGTCTTGTGGTTCCCTGCAATATTTCTTTGGCAAGCCCTTGTTTCCTTGTTACGTTGCCGTACCCTTGTAGTTTGCGTTTTTTCAGTCACCAGTAGATCATCGTACACCCAAATTGCCCGGCGAACCCTTTCTTTCACAGTATCATTGGAGATATGGTCCCTATAGCAGATGCCAAAATGCTTCTGATGCATCTCATCTCCATCGCCTTTATTTTCATTTCAAGATCGGCTGTTAATGTCCAGGATTCGCAGGCATACAGGAAAATGGAGAGGACTAATGAGGGCATCAGCCTGATTTCAAATAGAACCCATAGTGTTCTCTAAGCGTATTTATATTTGTATAGCTTATATGAGGAACAAAGGTCCGAAAGTAGCATCTATTTACTACGTTTGGTCAAGTTCCATCTATTTATGTAGAAGAATTGGTTTTAATTTTGTAAATAGCTCAAATTAGGGGAAACAACGAATTTATGGTAACGGAACCCAAACAATATTGTTATAGAAAGTTCAAACAATCTTCTCCCCACTTTACAGTGTTTGATTCTGGATAAAGATGGATATATGTGCTAATTTTGATCTTGTCCACCAAGCCATGTAAAAACTTATGCGGAACACATAGACACATTTTTTTATCCTTTATATGAATGCTAAATCTTCTGCTGTGAGTACATACTCATTTAAGTTTTGCAATGCAAAATAAATTTGTTTACATTTCAAAAACGACAACGAACATATTGATGTTCATTTTTTTATCCCTCACCTCTCATTCTCTCCGCATTTATCTCTCTATTCCCCTCTCATATTTATTTATTTAGGCATTTTATAAAGCGCTTACCTTAAAGCTCTAAGCGCTTTACAATTATTAAAAACATGTAAACTAAGTGAAATAAAAATGAAAAACCACAGACACTAGGATAGTAACTACTATACTATAGAAACAATTAAAATGGCTATAACACGAGGACCATAAAACAACAAAATAAATAAGTATGTTTCAAACAAAATATTTGTTTCGAAAGCAACTTACAAAGAAGAGAACCACACTAATAGCAAAATAGCCCATTGTTTAGCTGCAAAGAAGATTCACATCCGTATAAACTGTGAGCCTAACATTCATATGTATGGCCGCTTTCTAAACTCCTTTCATGTTTTTGAGGTGTATCCGTCAACCTTATTACTTCCCTGTCTTTGTGTGCACACTTGAAAATTACATTCTATGAATGGGTGTTGTCGTGTTTGTACACTTGAGATGTTGAGAGCTTCTACAAAATGCATGGGGGTAGCTTTCTTTTTAAAGAGCTGATCAAAAATTCCATAATTATAAAATTAGATGTGAGTCATGAGTGTCTGAACATAGAAATTTCAGGAATTAAATCAACTTTGTTTTAGTAGATCACAATTGACTTTGGAAACAATGTTTTAAAAAAAAAAAAGATATTAACCATTTTGGTTCATAAAGCATTCTGCTTCTGGTAAATTAATATAAAGTTTATTAAGTCCTATTCTGTCCAAAAAATGTAGAGTTGACTGTCAAAGCTGCGTGTAAATACGTCAGTATCTTCTTATTGACTCTAATGTGTGACACCTTTGTCTTCTTTAAACTACGACAGAGCGGCATTCTGCACTGAGAGTCTCGCACACAAAACATCGTACTAGAAGCAGACGCATTTCGTTAAATAATACTGTTTGTAGTTATTCTTGGTAATAGGCAAGATATGAATGTAATAATTTACAAATCATTCAAGTCGGTAACAAATATCATCTTAGGCAACGAAGTCCTAACTTTGATTCTCTTCCATTCACCACAAATTTCTGGTTTCTGTACTACTAGGCTACTCGGAGAACCCACCGTGAGCTCCATCTGAACTAAATGTGAGCTCCATGTGAACTAAATATGAACTCGGTATGAACTAAATTTGAAATCCATGTGAACTAAATATGAACTGCATGTGAACTAAATGTGAACTCCTTTTAATCTAAATGTGAACCCCGTGTGAACTCCATGTGACTAAATGTAAACTCCATGTGAACTAAATGTAAACTCCATGTGAACTAAGTTTGAACATATACTTGAAATGTCTATGTAATATAATAATAATAAAACTTAAAAGTTTTACTAAAATAAAAAGGTTATTATGTTATGTCCGTAAATTATAGAAAATAACTGTAATCGTTTTCAACAATCCAAACGTTTCTAAAACGTTTCTGTTTTCTGGCCTTATGGCAGCATAGCTTATTCTTTGATATTAAATATATATATATATATAATTAAATGTGCTGCAATTTGTGTAAATTGAATGAATCCAAAGGACTTTAACATCTAGCCGGTTATTTATACAATACAATTTTCATCTTAGTTAATGTTATTGTTTTCGCCTCGACTTTTCAAATTGTCATTTTCTCATTGTCTGTTTAAAGACAAAATGATATTCCGCAAAATGACATAATTCGTTTGTTAAGGTGTTGTTGTTTTTTTTTTAAATAATTCATTTTGATTTTTAAAAAAGCTTGATTTTTATCGATTTAGATCAATTCTGAAATGAAGAGTTGTAAGCTGTATTTTCGGAAAATAGCATGATCTCTATCATTATCTCCCTTCTCCGCCCCTAAACACATTGTTTTATACTCCATATTCTTCCCCTGTCTTACTTTTGGGCTTATCTAGGATTAGTTTTTTTTTACATATGCTACGATCTAATGTGTCATGAAAGTTAAGCGCTTCGCAATATAACCCTATTCTTATTTTAAGGACGTTAAATACATTTCAAATGTTAGGATCTTTGTTTTCATTACTGCACCGCTGACTACATTCACCGCCACACAGCTATACTTGTGCCACATGTCTTCGCCACACAGCCATTCTCGTGGAAGACTTCACTGTGACACAGCCATGCTCGTGCCACACTTAAGATTAA